GAGCTGGGGCAGGGTCTGGAGCACAGGTCTGCTGGGGAGCGGCTGGGGGAACTGGGGGGGTTCAGTCTGGAGAAGAGGAGGCTGAGGGGAGACCTCCTGGCCCTCGGCAACTCCCTGCCAGGAGGGGGCAGAGAGGGGGGATGAGTCTCTGGAGCCAAGGAGCCAGCGCCAGGCCCCGAGGGAATGGCCTCAAGCTGCCCAGGGCAGGGTCAGGCTGGCTCTGAGGAAGGATTTCTGTGCAGAAGGGGCTGTTGGGCGTTGGAATGGGCTGCCCAGGGCAGGGGGGAGTCCCCGGGATCCCTGGGGGGGTTGAAGAGTCGGGCTGAGCCAGCGCTGAGGGATCTGGTGGGGTTGGGAACGGTCAGGGGGAGAGTCATGGTTGGGCTGGAGGAGCCGCAGGGGCTTTTCCAACCCAGGTGATTCTGTGATGTTTATTGGAATTTACTTTGAAGACTCCTCCAAACCATCCCCAAACAACTATATGATCCAATACAATCCTTTCCTTTTTTTTCCCTTTCATTGACCACCCTGGTTTTAGTTTCTCCTTTAAGACCAGATTTCCTACATGCACAACACGGGGCAGTCCCCGAGCAACTCCTGCCTTAACCGACGGGCCTGGCAGGGGTTTGCTTGGCAGACACTGGGCCTGTGGCTCACGCTGGGACCCCCACACCCCTTGTGCTAACGCGTGACAGAGCCTGCCCCAAGACCTGCAGATTTATTGAGGCAAATGGACAGAAAGTGTTGAAGTGGTTCAGAAAAGCAGCTTTTCTGTTGCCCAGGCATAAGGGGGACAGTGCTACCAGGGATGCTGCACGCCCCAAGAATGCCTCAGGCTGTGGGTCAGCGTGGGGAGGGAGCAAAGGGGCTCCTGGCAGAGCCAGGAGGGGGATTTTGTCTGCTTTTGCAGAATCAAGCACTGCCTTAGGAGGACATTGTGCTTAAATGAAAGACCATGGGGTAACCTGTTTATTGTCCCAGGGACAGAGGGAACAGATGTGGGTTTCGTCCCTGCTGCTGCTTGCTCAGCTCTAAGGGGAGATCTTCATTCACACCTTCTTTACTAAGGCAGCAGCCTGCAAAAAATTCACGAGGGTTACCAAGCACTTTGGGATCGTTTGCTAGAGGGTGTAAATCAGGCATTTGGGGGCTGCTCACCTGCAGACACACCTGCCCTGAGGCACCCCGGCCCAGTACAGCTCCCGGCGCTGCTCCAAGGCAACCTTAAACAGGCTTTGCACGTGCCTTCTAACTCCTCTCCTTCTCTTTCTCTTCCAGGGTTCAGCTCCCATCCTTGTAGTCATGGTGATCTTACTAAATATTGGAGTCGCCATTTTGTTTATTAACTTTTTCATCTAATTCAAGACTGTCTTGTTTGCAAAAATAACAGTTACATGTATGAATGGGGGAAAAAAAAAAAACAGCAACCAAACAACAACAAAAAGGGAAAAATCATAACTCGAACTGTCCTACGACAATTTCCAAGTCTTTTCACAGAAGAACAACAAACGATCGAGTCTCACTCACAGTTTGCCTTTTTTCCTGGGTAATGTTTTTTGGATTTTAGCCAAAATTCTTTGCTTGTATAACACTATGCTGTGTGGCATGGCAAAATGCTATCAACACTCTGCCCCCCCAACACTGGAAAGGATGAGAAGGAATCCCAACAAAATAAAACCTCATGTCCCTTCCCTTCACCCCCCAAAAATATATTCGTAACAACAGTAATGAACCCCAAAATGGAGACTAGATGAGGTGACCATGGGGAGAGTTTGACTGAAGGATGTACGGGTCCTGGGATGCTCCAGGCTGAGTTTCCCAGGGAAATCCACAACGGCTTTAATGATAAATGGGAAAGAAAAGCAAAATCAGGCCTTTCTTCTTCCTCCCTTCACAAACGGAGAAATGTTGCTGTAAGGAGGAGGAGGAGAGAAGGAGCATGGGGAAGGCATGAACCCTGTCTAGATGTGAAAAATGGGAGATGGACAACAGGCCCCATTTTGTTATTTGTTTTTAAAACAAAGCAGCAATTGGTGTTTTGCTAAATTTCTTGGGGCAGGGGGAGAACAGGGAACAACACAAGGTGCGAGCAGCAGCCCCACCACCCTCCCACCTTCACTCCTCCTCCCCAAGCTGCTCCCCTCCGCAGCAAGGCTGGAAACCCACCCAGTGCGACTTTTAATTCACAGCCAATTTCTCCTGGGTAAAAACATGTACCTGGATTCCCTCAAAAAACCTGCAGGCACCTTCAGCAACATGAATTGAGCAGTTGCTGGTCATCGTGCCGGGCTCGCCAACACGCGAGGAGCAGCCTTACTTGAGCATCCCATCCCAAACACACATGTGCACAGAGGTGCTGGGGAGCAGACTGGTGGGGAGGGACTGGGGAGAGAGGGCTCAATTCTGATCCACTTAGGATAACAATAAAACAAAATAAAGCAAAATAAGATAAAACTCTTTTTCAAAGGCATCTGGGGAGGAGCACTGGAGCATGTCCCAGAGAGGAGGGAGAGGGTGGTGGGTTTGTCTCTTACATCTTGCTGTGGACTGTTTCAGACATCATGCTTGGGCTCTGAGCATGTAGTATTTTGCACTTTGTAATGCAGGATGTATATTCCAGCTTCCAACATGTCCCTGTATGAAAAAAAAAAAAAAAGAAAAAAAGAAAAAAAAAAGAAAAACAAAAAAAAAACATCATTGGCAATGGCAGCCTCTAAGGATGTATTCTTTTCTTTTTTTTTTTTTTCTATGTCACTTAATTTGTTCGTTTATACCATCTTTGTAATATGCCTGCCTTGATTTTCTCCCCTCCCCTGTCCCCACTGATAATATGCATACTCATTAAAGATGCCGTATCCCTGTTCTGAGCTGTTATGGTCCCAATCACGAGAGTGTGGTCTTAGCTGAATTGCTTGGAAACGGCTGACGTCCCCTGGCTTTTCAAAAATGCCTCTTTCCTCCCCTCCCCACACCATCTCTCCCCGACGCAGAGATC